TTGTGTTCTCATCCATAGTAGAGAACAAACATTTATTGTATTGAGCCTTATTGTGAGATTCACTTTGTAATACACTTGTACACCGAGAGGAGTGTGTGGTAAGAGTCGGGGATCGTTCTAAGAGGAGTGGCGTCGGTTGACGAGCCTAGGTAGAGGTTGTAACCGAGCACTTGAGGGAGACACATCTAGTTCAACACTTGAGAGGGTGTAGAGTGGGATTACAAGAGTGTGTTAGTTGTAGAGTTTTCGGTAAACTAGAAAACCATTCGGGTGAACGTAGAAAATCCGGTTATGATAGTGGATTTCTTCCCGGGAGTGGGGAGCGGAGACGTAGGACGGAAGGTCCGAACTCCGTGATCATATTGCTTGTTTGAGTTTGGCTTAGCACTTATATTTGTTCATCTTTATAGCATTTCTCTCATTATTTATTTCATTCACTATTTCATTTGTTTATGTTACCCTTGTGTTTGCATATCCTTACATATATATCATCTTGTGCTAGCTTTTATATTCTTGCACATACATTGTCTATATCTCTTTGTTAGGATATATCTTATTGTTTATATATCCTTGCATATATTTCTATCATATAGGATATATCTCATTGTTCATATTGTTTATCCTAGCTCATATATTGTTGTATTTCATACTTATATCATATAGGATATATCTCATTGTTCATATTGTTTATCCTAGCTCATATATTGTTGTATTTCATACTTACTAGGATAACTTGTTAATTAATTTAATTAGTATATAATCGGATTAGATTAGCATAAGACCCTAATCACCCCCCCTCTAGGGTCTAACATGACCTACGTCTCCGCTCCTCATCTCGAGGAGATCTCCACTATCATAACCGGGTTTTCTATGCTCACCCGAATAACGTTTACACCTCACACTCAGTTTTCTAGTTCACCGAAAACTTTACAACCACTCACAATGTAACTACACTAATACCACCTCAAGTATTGGTCTCTAGCCCGTGTCTCCCTCAAGTGTTAGGAATTACAACCTCTCTTTAGGTATTACGACCTACCCCACTCCTCTTGGGATGACCACGTCTCTCACCACACACTCCTATTGGTGTACTAGTGTATTACAAAGTGAACCTCACAATTATAGCTCACAACAAATGATTGTTCTCTAAACAATGAGAGAACTCAATTAAGCACAACTTTAGATTACAATCTCTCACACCCCAAATTATACTATGTATGAAAATACTAAAAGCTCAAGTGCATGTGTGTAACAATGAGATAATAGAACAAAATCAAACTAAACTCAATATAGATTCTAACTTATGGAAATGAAAATCAAACATATAAAATAGCTAGATTTAGTTTAGAAAATTTCTCCAATAAATGATAAGAGTGAGAGAGAGAGATGAGTTGAAGCTCAAACACCAAAGGATGATCTCCTCTTTGCTCTTGTAAAAATTTCTTCAAAAACTAAACTCTTGAAACAAACTAAAACCAAACTTAAAACCCTTGTAAACTTGTTTAAAAACTTTCCTCTAGTTAGTTATGAACCGAGGATATGTGGGGGTATTTATAGGAACCCCAAAGCCAAGAAGAAACCAACAAAACCAGCAAAAAGATAAAAAAACAGAAAGCTGAAAAAACTAGCCATTGAGCCGTTAGTTGACTGATACTGTTCATCAGTCGACTAATGAGCTGACCCTTACAGGCCATCAACACATCATCAGTCGACTGATGAACTCGTCAATCGACTAATAACCTCATCAGTCGACTGATCAGTCGACTAAAATAAAACAAAAAGTTTTTGATGATTCCAGACTCATTCTTCAGTCATCTCATCAGTCGACTGATAATAGGTTATCAGCTTGTTTTAAAACAGAAATCTGATTTTTAAATTGCCTTTAAAAATAACAAACAAAATCAAAAAAATGTAAAACTTTGGAAATGATTGTAAACATGATAATATGCATGTTATAAAAACTGGTTTTCAAAAAACACCTCCCAAATGAGAAATCTCTTTATTTTTCAAAATAGTCCAAAACATGAAAATACAACAACACTTGTTTTGTCATTTTGACTAAACCATGTTTTGAAAACTCTTGTATGGCTTTATAGACTTGATAAAATATATGAACTATTATTTTAGAGTCTATAACCAAAAAACATAATATATTTCCAAATATAATAGAATATGAAACATATGAATGTGTATATGAATATATATTTGTTTCATATCTACAAAACTAAACCAAAACATATATGTATATATATAACTATACATATACAAAACCAAAACGTGTATGTGATTGAGCTTAAAGTATCAACACACATAATATAAACCTAAACTAAATTACCCAAGCTATCTTGATCTTCGATGTAGCTCAACTTGGTACACTTACGGATGAAGCTTGAACTTGGATCTTCAACTTGAATTGCATTGCTTCACTACACTATTCCGCCAACCTCCATTGAACATGATCTTGAATGCTTGATTCCATCCATCCTCCAATATGTTGTTTGCCTAGAATAAATACAAAACATAAATACTAGACAAACAACATTAGTGATAAATTGTTTGTTAAACATCATCAAAACAAAAGGACCCAACACGATGTTCTCTCTACCAAAAATGAAAATAAATAAAAACTCGTCAGGGATCCTAAACAAAGAGGAACACATTCAAGTTGGGAGAGAGGTATGCAATATAACACATTTTCAATATACCAGGTATGAAGGTTCTACAACATAAGATAAACTTGAGGATAACAACATCCACTCCTCTTTAGACACCTCCACCTCCTCCTCCTCCTCCTCCTCATTATCATCATTCACACTCTATTTTTATATATCATTTAGAGAAGAACAAAACCGAGCAAGTTAGCTACGTCAAGTAAGAAGATGGATTACACTACAACAAAAGTTATAAATTATGATAAATTTATTATCTCAACGTGACACATTTTTGTATCGCATAAATAGAGCGTGACAATATCAAAAATGTGTTTAGAGAATATGTGGAAATCATCTTTCTACACATCTGAGAATGTGTCACAAATTTCATGACACATATATATATGTCGAGAGTGGTGATACATACATGTGTTATAAAACTCGTGACACATATATGCATCAAGAGCAGTGATATATAGCTGTGTCTAGAGCATAAAAAATAAAAAAAGAGTATCATCATTCAATACTATAACTTTCTAGAAGGTGACCCGTCCTAGGATTATTCTCACCAAAGCACATTTAATTATGGAGATTTTTTAGCTTATACACTATCATAGTTTAATCAACATCATAATTAAAATCTAAGATTTATTATTTAAGCTCATTAATAGATTCTCGCATAATCCATGTTGAACTATTAATCTTTTTCAATTATATTTAACTGTATATCTGATGACATGAATATGTGTCGTGATTTGCTGCACTTTTTACTCGTGTCACAACTATGTAATCCTTGGCAAATAAAATGACACTTCATGTGTCAAAAATAAGTGTGAACACATACAACTTTTGTTATAGTATTACTTGCATTTTGTTACTGTTGAAGTTTTGATTTTTTGAACTTTGATATAAGTCCTATTCTAACAATTTTATACTCCGAAGTTTTCCAATGTATATTAATTTGACAACCTAACTCCCAAAGGCTTACTCTTGTTTTTTCATTCTTTCTAAACTCTATAGTTGACCAAAAAGGTCGGTTTTCATCCACGTATTTTAGTTCATAATTTTATAGAAACTAATGTAAACCTTTCTTTTCATCAAAAATAAAAAACAAAAAACAAAATAAAAGTATAAACCCTTCTTACATTCTAAAGCATTAAAGTGTCTCAATGAAACTTGTACGAAAACGACAACTTTGAAGTATTATCTCAAATAACCTTGACGCTTTGCTTGGATACTCAATAATGAAAAGAGGGGGTGGGGGTGGGGGTAGGGGTGGGGGGATCATGTTTTTTTAGTAAAAGAAATGAAAGGGAAATTATTATATATACCATGTGTTCAGATTAATACCAGTAGTTGGATTCAGATCATCATAGATTAAATAACCCTCACTCCTATTTCACATCAATCAGACAAGAGTCGAATTGCATGCACAGTAGGTCAATGATGATGACGAGCTCTCAACCAATGCTACTCATTTCCCCTCCATTATCCTCTCGAAGGAACTCTCAAATGAGTTTTTCACCTCTTTCCCCATCTCTTCTATTCACCCTTCCCAAAAACTGTACGAAACAATGTGTGTTTTTCTACTAGTCCCAAAAATCATTCATGCTATGCAGTCCCTCAAATAATTGAACTAGCTATTAGCTATTAGGTCTCACAATTCTTAAGTCGCATTGGAAAGTACTCTCTCAAATCATTAAAAATATCATTAGGTCCTACAAATTTTAAGTTATTTTGAAGTTAATCACTCAAATCAAGAGTAGAAATAACAATTTGACGTGTCAATCTGGAACTAGTTATGAGAATTTGAAGACCTGATAATCCAGAAGAATATATCTGACTAGCTAACCCCTCCGATAAATTCTTGGTTGGAGGGACTAATCTCATAATAACTTAGGAATAGGAGGTCACCTAATAGTAATTTCGGTTATTCGGGACATAAACGCAAGAATCGAGGGACCTAATAGCAATCTAAAATTTTACGGGCTACTTGCAAAATATAAAAGTATAAGAGACTAATATCAAAAAAAAAAAAAATCCTAAAATGAAATTGGGTTCTTCGATATCAGCCCCTTACATCATAAGTAATTTAATACCAAGCCCTTAAATATTCATATTTTATATTAGCCCCTCAAATAGCTATGATATGCTGATACGAGTCCCATGGTTTGGTTCATATTCAGATATCAGCCCCTCAAAAAATTGCCACGACGCGTTGACATGAGTCCCTCATATTAACACATTATAGCAGCTTGAGTGAGGGGCTGATATCACAACGTGGATAGGTAAGGCGCTAATATCAAATTACATTCAACGTAAGGGGCTAATATAAAAAAATACCCGTCGCCAGAGGACAAGGCCAGCAGAGGATAAGGCAGAGGCGGAGGCAGCAAAGAGCAAAAGGGTAGAAGGTAAATGGAGAAATATTTCGGGAACGCGTATCGGGGCGATCCGGGCGTGCCGCACACGGATCCGGAACGATTCGTGAACATATGGATCGGATCCTTCGTCTTCTCCGCCCTCACCTGGAACAACCCTTACATGTGGCAGCTGTCCAACCAGTTCAAGTATTAAACCCTGAACCCTCGCCGTCTCTTCTCAATTAGGGCTTTTTTTTTTAATCACCATCATCTAATCATCGTCTAATCATCAATTATCAATAATTAGGGTTTTTGGATGCTACTTAAACCTATTCCCGGTTCTTGTTCTCAATAGCGTTTACTTCACGGTCCCTGTTAGGGTTTGTGAAAAAAATGTCTTCTTCTTTTTTTTTTTCGTTATCATGTTGTTGTTGTCAAACGACCCAAGCAAAACAATGTGGTGAGGGTTGAGAGGGTTGTAGTTTTATGTTCTGTCAATTGTTGATTCTAGGGATGTCGCTGTACCGGCTTCAGATTCGTATAGAAAATGCAAAAAGAAAACTATACAGTTCTCCATCAAAATTGGCTTAACTATAGAGCGCGGATTTATTTAGAAAATCCAGGAATTTAGGATCTGCTGTCTACTCGAGGTGACGAGAATGACGACATAACTTAGTAAACCTGATCCTGGGTTTTGGACTATACCTAAGTCCATATTCATGTTACCTAATACTATTGAGGGAGCAACCTCTATATTCTCCGATGTTATGCAAGAGACTAGAGAAATAGTAGAAGATGATGCATTTGCTGTAAGGCTTGCATTCTTCTTGGAGACGCGAAGTTCAAAGCGAAGAATTAAAGGGCATTTCCTGTGTAAAGGGAGACGGGTATGGTGAGAAGCATACGAGTTAATTTCAAATTCTTTTTTGTATTACGGTGCATCTTTGAGGAGTGATCATCTACTATGAGTTTAATCCTCGCCGTTCCAAGTGCATGCTTTAACTACTAGGATTTAGTGATATAGATGGTAAGGATTGAGAGAATGGAATCCTCTCCAATTATCACTTAATTGAAGAGGATCATGATCCTATGAAGATCCGGTACAAGTGTTGTTCTTGGGGAAAAGGTAAGCATTGTTGGTATTTTTTTGTTTGTATAGAAAAAAAGAACCTCATGGAAATCCTTCTAAAAAAACTAGATAGAGAAAGTAGTGTGTGTGTGTGTATCCTACAAAATTCAAATGGTTAATTATAGAACCCCCCCCTGGAATTTTGAGGAGCTACTGTAAGCCCTTCAATTTTTTTATTACACTGGACCCTTTGACACTTTAGGAGTTATTGCACATACCTGTCCTGAAATTTTTTCCCTCATATTATTTGAATTGCTATTAGGTACCCTTTAGTTATTTCAAAATTTAGTCCCTTAAATCATTTAATTTCTATTTGGTTCACCAACTGCCATGACTTGTTTCAAATTAATCCGTCAAGTGCAGAAGTAGCAATTGGAGGGATAGTTTTTAGATAATTTATGAGAATTGAGAGGCAATAGCAATTTCAATGATGTTTGGACTAATTTTGAGACAGCTTAAAAATTGCGGTACCTTATAATAACTTTAATAATTTGAGGGACTATTTTTTAAATAAGAAAGTTATAAAAGACTACTGTATGAACATCCCTTTTTATGTGTAATCTATGTGGGTCAGCTGACCCATTTTAATCCACGGTGGTGCCCGAAAAAAGGAGCCTCATTCAGCCACACAACCATAACTCGCGAAGGGGTAATGTTTGGCCCCGACAATTTTTTGCCATCCCTTTCCTTACCTTACGGTGAAGAAAACCTAAATGAAAATTTCAAAAGCTTACTTTCTTTAGGTAATCAAGCTTACATTTTTCTTTCCCATCTAACCAAACTTTGAAAACCTGTTTTCTTTTTCTTTTTCTTTTCTTTTCTCTCACTTTTATTCAAAACAAACAAACCAAAGAGAGCCTTGAGAATTGATCAAATAGGTCACTATTAAGAAGATGTAGATTTTAGTGAGGTTAGATGTACAACAACAGTGCAACTAAGCATAAACGACAATCTCAAGGTGATATACTACTAATGAAAATAGAGGTTATCTAGATCATAGAATCAAGTACCAGCTATCGAATTCTAACCTTGTAAAAGTAGAATTTTCATGATATAGAGATGCTTTACTAGATTGGTTAAAACACATATATGGGAACAAAAGATGGTTGCGGATGGTTTAGCAATTTGTGCGGAAAGATTCCATGGATGAAGCTGGAGTACTGATTACACAGACTTGAAGAGACGTACTTTTAATGTGGTCTGATTTTGAGTATAGATAGGTGTCGAAAGAGGACTTAATAAACAGCTTATACAGTTGATGCTTGGAAGTTCAATGATGCAGGACTGTTTAGATGTGAGTATCATGGGTGTGCTCAATGGAACAGATGGGTTCATGTTTTACGGTTAATGCTCTTTTGTTGATCAAAGAACTTTTTCCTACAACTAAGTTGTTTTTCCGTTCTTGTTTTCATATAAGCTTAGGATACCAAAAAACAATCGCTTTATCCGATTTATGCTAGTCAGGATGCTGATCCCTAAATGATCGTTATTCCTAGGATAAGGAGATACATGTTGAGTGGTACTTTTGTGTTGCTTTTCACTTGTTTATGCATCAACTTATCGCTTTTCCTTTTGCCTTTTATTACTTGAATTTTACAAAATATTGTGTATTATTCTCCTTTATACTAAAAATGTCCATCTTTTCAGAACTTCCCAAAAATAACTTGTATTGTTTTTAATAACTTGTCTTGTTTCTTCACTTTTATACTAAAATTGTCCATCTTTTCAGAACTTCCCAAAAATAACTTGTCTTGTTTCTGCACTTTTAACCTCTAAAAACTGTCTTCACATAAATGTTTTTTTAATAATCTTTTCTATTTCCTGCTATTTGTTTGTAGAGGTTTCAACTGAAGAGCTAACTTCTTACATCCATTCTGAACTTCTAGTTTTAGTCTGATTTCTTTGTATCATGGCATTTAGAATACTATAACTTTTGCTGATTTCTCAGAATTATCTCTAACAACTGTAACCAGTGCTTTAGAGATTTGGATGCAGCATGTCCCTGTGGGGAAAATACTCTATTTTCAGCTTGGAGATAGGAAACTTAAATTATCTGCTAGTTCTTCAAACTGTGTCTATATGCATACATACAATTTACGTTTTCCTTAAAGTTGTTTACATTGCAACCAAATTATTATATTTTTATGAAACCTGTTGTATTTGTTGTGAAAAAGTTCATATCTCTGTCACATTGTTTTAAATTTAGATCAATTGCTCTAAAGCTGTTTTTATTGTATCAGAAATGAATATGTACGCAGTTAGCACTTAGCAGTATTATGAAGCAGCAGAAATATGGAAAAATTAGATTAGTTATAAATAGTTCATGAAACTTTTATTTGCTTATATAAAATGATAAAACAGTGACCAGAATTTGCTTAATTCACTAATTGATTAAATAATTTAGAACACAGTTGTTTTCCTAATTTCTTTCCAGTGCTTGCTTATTTTTCAAATAGTGCAACCATCTTTTTAAGTAAAAGCTTACGGAAATATTTTAGGGTTTTTAAGGTATTGGTCCCTCTAAACTTAGGTAACAGGAAATAGGTCCCTCAAAGGACGTTATTTTGAAAAAGGCCCCACATTCCACCAAATATCCCCCTCTGGTTAAAAATTGTGATTTTAATCCATAATTAGCTAGTGGTCGCTTGTTATTTCACGCCCTAAGATGAGGCTGACGGTCGCCCGTCGCGGCTGTAGTCTCCAGCCAACCACTGTCGGTGACTCTTGTTGGACCACCATGGTAGCCACCGCTGGACTGCCATATGCAGCTGACATCCACTGAAGGGCTTCCGGCTTCAACTGCTGCTGCTCTTGCTGTGGAGGGAGCAAGGAGCAGGGTTAACTTTAGTGGACACGTAGTCAAACCCATGTTAGAATTTTAACATCAAAATCTAATTTAGACCCCTTTGGTGTCATCAAAGGATTTTGGGGACTTTCAAAATAATTTGCTATGGGTTCCCATTTTTTATGTTTCGAGGAACTAATACCTTAGATGCCCAAATATTTAGCTAAGCACTCGTCACTTGTCAAAATACTTATATCTCCCTGGAGTTCTTTAGCTTGGTTACTTTTGTGGATGCTGCATAAATATTATGGCAAATAAAAATTAAGAAATGTTTACACCTAAAATTATTGTACTTTGTTCGGAACAATGAAGATGTCCATATTTACTTTTCCCTAGTTGATTAAATACTCTTTGAAGGTCATAAAAAGGTTTACATTACTTTACATTACTCTCTGCCGTTTAAAATAATCTATGTTATTGGTAAGTGGTGAGGGGGTTTAGATAGTTTTTGGCTAGAAGATAGCTGGTGACGGGAAGTGGTTGAATAGAGTTTCCAGCAAACCAATTATGTTGTTGCATTCTTCCATAAAAACTATTGGTAGCTGGTAACTGAAAATGTTACCTGAAGGAATGCTGAATCCGCAAGGATAATTGTCAGCCATATATCTCATGGAAACTGCAAAAGGCACAAAGAAGATGGGTACCCCATCATCACTTGCAGATGTTGCATGTGATGAGTTATCTATTAAAATGTGTAATCCATATACATCTAGTAACTTGGTGCGGAGACTGGACATAATCTAGCGGTACTTGTAGCAGAAGTTGTATTGTTATCAAAGAGTAAAAACCCAGTTACATAATCTAGCAGTACTAGTAGCACAAGTTGAGTGATCATACAGGACGAGAACTATATCCAGCATGGTTTTAAATATCGGCCGATAATCCGATATTATCGCCGAGTTATCGGATTTGGGAGCTTTCCGCTAGGATAAGTAGGATTTTTATTCGGTTATCGTTTTTTGAGGTTTATCGCGAGTTATCGACGATAAAGGTACTTATCAGCCGATAAGTAGGCTCTAAATATCGGTTTTATCGGCCGATAAGTAGGATTTAGGAGCTTTTGCTTTCTTTTGGATTTGCTCTTTGAATGTTTACAAATTATGAACTATTTGTTGCTTTTGGAACTTGGTTGATTGGTGATTAGCTTATGTTTGTTTATGGATATTGATAATGGCTCATAACTACTAAATATCAACTTAGTAAGTTAGTTTATGAATCTCATGATTAAACAATAATTATGTAGATGCGTAGATGATTCTTCATTCTTGATGTTATCTTATTATTTGCTAGTTTATTATTCCATTTTGACTAACATTATATTATTTTTCAAGCTTATGTTTGTTTATTATTTGCTAGTATATTACTCCGATAAATACTATTTATCCCCGATATATCCCCGATTTCCGCTATCCGATAAGAATGTTGACCGTCCGATAAATCCCCGATAACCGACATTTAAAACCTTGATATCCAGTTACATGTCACGAGTGTCAAGATGAAATATATTGATATCAAAGCGGAAAATTGCGTATGGTTTGACTTGTTGGTTAAGAACTTAAGACGTTAGTAGTTCCCTTGTCCCTGGGAAAGACAAAAATCAGTGCCTATGTCGTGTTATGAATTATACAGCCACTCTGGTGCTTTTTTTTTTAAATTTATTTTCTCTGCATCTTTTTTTTGGTTATCCCTCAATTATGTTTTGTAATTTCTTGTGAATCCCCATCGTAGGAACCGTTCAAAATTCTGTAATTATTAGCTGCTTGTGAGCACATGAACATCTTATTAGTGCTTTTTTCTAACTCCTTATTTTACATCGTGTTCTTGGATAATATCACCAGCTGGCATGATAAGGCCATGATGTTCGAGCATTACCATTGGAAGAAAGCCGTGGAGAAGAAGGAGCCCCACCAGTTCAAGGTGAACTCAAGATCCTCTTTACCATTCATTTTCACGTGTCAATCATGTTCTGCACTATTCTGGCTCAGTTGCTTACTTTTGTGCAAATTGTAGCCTAACTTTCAAGGGAACCACCGGGTAACCACCACTAATTGAGATATATGAGTATGAAATTTGAAATTAACCTATAAAGAAGCAGTGTTTTACTTTTCATCCCAAATCACTATCATAGCTACAAGCAAACCGAAAGTGGCATCTTTGAATCATAACCATATTCCTGAATGACATTGGTTAAACAATTGGTTGTATTTAAATCTTAGGGTCAATTGCAGATCTGCCGTTGTATTTTGAGCGTGTTTCCACTTTAACTAATCTATTTTGTTAGCATCTACGCCCCCTGAGGTTGAGATGTCGGTGGGAATCATGTGACGGTAAATTGCATTTTGCCCTCAGTTTAATAGGGGAAAAAAAAAAACTAAATTACCCTTTAGACTGAGGGTAAAAAGTAACACGGACCGAGGTTCAGGTGGTGTAAATGCTAATAAAAAGAGTTCAGGGTTAGGCTACGCTACCACTGTTCAGGGTGCGTCTGCAATTCAACTAAATTCCAAGCACAAGGCAGATTTCAATAGCTCAATGTGCACATATGGCTTTTGGCGATTCTTTTCAATGAGCAGATTCATGTTTTTGCAATCTGTAGTCTGACCGTAGCTCAACTCAGCGGGTGTTTTTTTTTTTCTTCTCTATCTCTTTCGCAGTGGAACCAGATGAGTAAGCCCGTGCGTGACTCGTACTACTTCAACTGGCCAGTTTACTTCCCATAGAACGCTGAAGAATGGCGCTGATACATATTTTTTTCCGAGTCTAATTGTGATCCTTGTGAGCAACAATTGACATAACGTTCAGTTGCTAGATGCTTGTGCTCATAGTTGTAGGCTTTATCATGAACGTTATCTGTTGACGTTCTTCAAGTTAAATGTTTGTTGTCGAAGTCTATTGAAGTAGCAGCCAAAACATCTCAACTGTGTGAATCTCATCTATTGTTAATCTTATTCTATGTTATTTAAGTCTCAACTGCGTATTGTTTTTTGTCAGTCAAGAAAATGAATGATACAATAACACCTTGGGCCTTAGTTGACGTGTTGGATCTGAATCCAATCGAGAACCATCGATTGTCAGGGGATACCAGATTAATTTGTTTAATACACGACCATAGCGAATAAGATTTGCAAGGGTTAAGTAGCTTTTATCTGATTGACGAAATCAAATTATGAATAATATATATGTACCAGCTTTGGACTAAGATGCAAAGCATGAGGGGGAGAACTTTTAATAAAGTAAAGATATTACTTTATTATTAAATTGAAAACGCCGTACTCTCCTGTAATTCCATGAGTTGAGGGAAAAGAAAGAGAATAAAAATCTTATTTCTAATTCTTGAGAGCTTTTAATAGGAAAGACAATTCTTGAGAGCATTGTTAGCTTATTTCCTAACTAAAATTTGTTCCGTTCCTCTTTAACAGCTTTTGTTCGCTTTTATCTCTAAACTTTAACATCGCGTTTATTTATTTTCTTTGATATTTGTATGAATGGGCTACACTCAATTTACATTTTCATGTTGATAATTGAAGTTTGACAGGAAATAAATATAATCTGAAGTTAAATTGAATTTTTATATTATTTGGACTAACATGAAACTAAGCCTTACTCGAGAAAGTACAGTGTTACAAAAGTGAAAAACGTTAAAATAGTATCATACAAGGAAGGTGAATATTTAAAACCAATAAGGCAAGATAATTGATTAAAAGTATACTAAAACGATACAAAAGATAATATGAAAATTTGTTCCTGATCATTGCTGGACTTCATAAAAAAGTATAAACTAAATATTAATGCTACCTCTAATGTACTTTTAACTTTTATATGATAAGAGTATCGACATGAGCATATAAAAGTACTAAAAAAAGTTCATGAAAATTCAGTCTAAAGATTCCTAATTTCACTCAAAATAATTAAACTATTCTATAAAATATTTAAAAAATATTGTCATTTATTCTCTCTGTTTTATTATTTTATTGAGCTGAGATCACTCTTCCTTCATCTTTATTTTTTTCTTAAGTAATTTTGGAGTAGTGTCTTCAGCATCCTACATCGATTGTGACATCAAGCTAGAGTTGAATTTTTTGTGATGTTATCTTTCGTGAGCTTGCTAATCTTTCATCTTCTCATTTAACTTCACAAAAAAGTTGAATGTATTTCCAATATTCAACACAAGCTTCTTGAAATACAAACTTTGATTTTTCTCTAAAATGTTAATTTCATATATATGAAATTCTTTGTGTTCTTAATTTATTACTTAAATAAGATTAGGAGTAATGTTTTTCCTACAATGAATTCTTCTGATGTGCATCCAATAAGAGTTCTGTTATGTCAATAATATTATATTTGCTCTATCCCTATCATTTTCCACAAGAATTTGAACTAAATGCCTGTATTTTTCATTGTCAATTAGCCTTAGATTATAATATTAATATTTAATTTCTTTAGCATTTGAAGAACAAAGTATGGAATTTCTAAAATTTTAAGGGTGTTTTTTATAATTATCAAAACTTTGGGTTATTTTTGAAAATTTTAGAATTTAGTGGTCTGACAATAGTTTCCATATTTGATGTGTGCTGATTACAAATTTTAAAATTTTAGAGTTTCTTATGATTTTTAACTTTTAAAGGAGTATCATTTTGTAATTTTTATAACTTTGAGGTTAATTTTGTATAATTTTAAAATTTTAAGTGCTTGATGGTAACCCTTTGAATTCATCTATACCGTTTACAAGTTTTAGAATTTTAGGATTTTAGGGTACTTTTTTATAATTTGAACTTTGAGTGTGTTTCTATAATTTTTGAGAGATTAAGAGTGTTAATTGTAAATTTTAAATTCTCTAGAGGCTGCTGTTAATTTCTTAATTTCATGTTTTTTTCTAAAGTTTTGAGACGTTGGAAATTTTCAGGTGCATCATGGTAATCCATTGAATTCATCTATGTTATTTGTAAGTTTTGAAATTTTAGAATTTCAGGGTGTTTGTTTGTAATATGAACTTTCGAGGGTATTTCTATAATTTTTGAGATATTGATGGTGTTAATTATAAATTTAAATTCTTCGTAGGCTGTTGTTAGTTTCTGAATTTCATGTTTGTTGTTTTAACATTTGAAATGTCAGGATGTTTTTTATAATTTTAAAACTTTTGAGGATATTTTGTGTTATTTTAAATTTAATCGGGCGGGGTAATCTTAAAATACAACTGAATTGGTACGGTCTCTGTTCACCCATTTGACCGCCTGTGTTCCCAAAACCAAAACGCTCAGCCCTTTTTTCTCCGATTTCGTCGCTCTCGATTCCGGCGAAATCCCTAACACGTAGCTTAATTACATTTAAATAGCTATTACAGGCGCCGTTTAAACGTACAGCTCCGTGATATCACCGGCTCCATATTTGCTAATATCTTAGGGAGGAATTAATGCTAAAAACCTATTCTCGATCACGGCTTTACAACTCATGCAAAAACACTAACTAGGTGATTATTGTGCGCCTCACATAACTAGAATACCTTCTTATATTTGCAGCGTATCTACGATCTCTATATCAGGAAGGAGTTATCGATCCCGCTTGTTTTGGAGACAAATCCGATAGAAAAAAGAGTACTTCATTCAGCTAAAGAAGAATTTTTGCAGAACACAAGATACATATACCGAGCAATACACGGTGATCAAAATTCCACAAGAACCTGAAGGCAATGAAGCTTCAAAAAAAAACGCAACATAGTCTCCCTATCACATAGATTATGATGCTTTGGAATGTTTTTTTGCAAGAAAATACTGACAATGCTGGGTTGTTAACTAATGGAATATATGCTATCTGTGTGTATGAGAGGTCCTAAAACGTTATGCTTCATGCTGGCATAAACTACATTAGGTATACATTTCCACGTAAACTCTCCACCTATGTATGCAGTTTGAATATATATACCTCCCTTAATTTCTTTTGGTGTGTGTGCGTGTGTACATTTGTGTGTGTGTGTGCGCGCGCACAGCTTTTTTTTACACATATTTGTTCATCTTTATGGAACACGCAGGTCTCTATATAATTTTCTAAAGCCTTTTTATCCCAAGGCGCATGCCTCTACGTGTAAACTGCCAAGGTAATATGACAGCGTATTGGTTAATTAGCTAAGCATGCTCTTTCTGCTGATTATGTTTTTATTTGGTTGGAGAAGATTCATCCTTTATTGAACTCTATTATAGAGATGCCCCTTTATTCTTTGAACAATACTAGTGAAGAGAGCACTTGCGCTCTGTTTAGCTGTGTTATTAAAAAAAATTGCAGAGAAAGATAAATATGCAAATTTTGGTGTAGCTCTAGGCTTTGCACATTGATTTGAAGGCACTAGGTTTAGCTAACTCGATCAGCATCGACTTGTCAGTATGTAGTGAAAAGAATTTTTGCCCATACTCATTTGCTTAACTGGTCCGTCTATCACTTAGCCCGTCCAAAACCCACACATCATACTCCCTTTAAAAGCACGAGTTCGGAAAATCTTTTTTAGACAAATATACCCCTTTATAGTTTGAATTATCTTATCTATAATCAAATTCTAATTTTCAATGGTCAATATTACCCTTCATTATTTTGAATATTTTATTTATATCTTAATCTATCCTAATCATAATCATATCTTATCCTAATCCTATGTGAACCATGTTTAGCTTAACAATTTTAAAAAAAACTAATATTAATAAAATATATAAAACATAAAAATGATATTAGTTTATTAAGATAAAGAAATTACAAGTAGATAACATATTATAATACATGAAGTATTGTAAAAAAACCATAAAAAGTTTTAAAATTACAGAAAAGACCCTGAAAAGTTTAAAATTATAAAAATCATCCCAATGTCTCAAAACTTAAAATAAAAAACATGAAATTAAAAAATTAACATCAGTTTGCAAAGAATTTAAAATTTACAGTTAACACCTAATGTCTCAAAAATTATAGAAACACCCTCAAAAGTTTAAATTACAGACAAGCACATTAAAATTCTAAAATTTTAAAACTTACAAACAACACAGATGAATTCAACAGATTACCATGATACACCTAAAATTTTTGACATTTAAATTTAAATTTTTTAATTAACACCCTTAATATTTTAAAAATTATAGAAACACACCTTCAAAAGTTCAAATTATAAAAAGCCACCCTAAAATTCTAAAATTTGTAAATAAAATAAGATGAATTCAAGATATTACCCTTAGACACCTAAAAAATTAAAATTTTCCAAAATTAACCTCAAAATTTTTTAAAAACTCCTTCAAAATTTAAAAATTGTAAAAAAAACTCTAAATTTTCAAAATTTTTAACTAGCACACATCAAATTCGTCGATTGGTAGACCACTGAAATTTAATATTTTTCAAAATTAATCTATAGTTTTAATAATTGCAAAAGACACCCTCAAAATTTTAGAGTTACAAGAAATATACTAACATTTAAAAAATTACCACCAACACATGAAACATATAATTTACAAGTACCAAACTTAAAAGTTTTTTTTAAAAAAAACTCTTTCAAAATTTTAAAAATTACAAATCACACCCTCAAATTCAAAACCACAAAAATGGGCTAAAATTTTAAAACTTGGCAAAGAAAAGTGTAATTGTTTGGTATTTTTCATATATATATATATATATATATATATTAAAATTTCTAATTTAGGGATTTACTATCCATTTTCAGCATCTAAGAATAGTCTAAGTTGATACTGGTAAACAAAAACAATAAGAATTGATTAAAAACATCCGGTTAATGGATAAAATTTTTAAAAATATTATAGATTAAAAATTATCGGCACTATATAAATTAAAGTAATTTCATATAATTTTAGTAATAAGTTGGGGTAGCCAAAATACATTCGTAACATTAATTGATAGATATTTAAATCCATAGAAATGATAAAACACTATAATATTATACCTTAGCATTAATTGATTTTAATTTAGAAACTTTAATCTTTGACGTTAATAGAAATGATAAAACACTATAATATTATACCTTAGCATTAATTGATTTTAATTTAGAAACTTTAATCTTTGATGTTAATAATATTTATAGGGTAAAAGAATACAAGGAATTACATATGGAGAAACTATTAGAATATTTAGAGATAACTTTAAAAGAATTGAGTTATTTCCATTGCAAATGGGAAAGTGATAGAAATAAATCTAAAATTCAGAAAACGTCAATGAATCACTTGAATTGGCATTAACATAAGACATATCTATTAATGAAGCACTGAATGAGTTACATTAAAAAATAATTTAATAACTTTATCCTAATCTAAGAAAAAATCTTCATGGAAGACATAAGAAAAATTAGTAAGTATTCATAAATTCCATACTGTGTTCTTCAAATTAAATATTAATATTATAATCTAAGAGAAATTGGTAATGAATAATGCAGGTATTTATTTTAGATCTTTATGGAAAATGACAGGGATAGAGCAAAGATAATATTATTAAAATAACAGAAATTCTTATTGGATACACATCAGAAGAATTCATTTTAGAAGAAAATAAAGAGATAGCTTCTAATTTATTTAAGTAATAAATTAGGAACACAAAGAATTTTATATATATGAAATTAATATTTATTCTCATTGAAATAGAAAAAAAATTAAAGTCTATATTTTGAACAGTTTGTGTTGAACATCATAAGTACATTTGACTTCTTTGTAGAGTTAAATGAGATGATAAAAAATTAACGAGTCCAGAAAAGATAATAGCATAAAAAAATACAAAATTAGCCTGATGTCACAATTGATGTAGATGATAAATACAATACTCTAGAATTGCCCGAGAAATGATAAATGATAAACCTGAAGAAGGATTGATCTTAACTCAATAAGATAAATGATAAACCTGAAGAAGGATTGATCTTAACTCAATAAAAAATAAAATAGAAGAAATAAAAAAACAATATTTTCTGAATATTTTATAGGGTAGTTTAATTATTTTGAGTGAAATTAGGAATCTTTAGAAGGGAGTTTTATGAATTTTTTTCAGTACTTTTATATTCTTATGTGGATGTTTTTATCATATAAAAGTATACTAGAGTTAGTATTAATCTTTAATTTATATTTTTTTATGAAGTCTATTAATGATTAGGAATAAACTTCATATTCTCTTTTGCATCGTTTTAACATACTTTAAATCAATCATTTTGCCATATTGGTTTTAAATATTCACCTTCCTTGTATAACACTATTTTAATATTTTTCACTTTGCAATGCTATACTTTCTCAAATAAAGCTTAGTTTCATACCGGTCAAAAATAATATGAAAATTCAAATTATTTTTAAATTATATTTGTTTTTTGTCAATTCAAATATCAACATGAAAATTTAAATTGAGTGTATCCTATTTAAACAAACATAAAAAAATAATCGGGATGTAAGAGTTTAAAAAAAAATGAGCACAAACTGCCAAAAATACTTAATCATGGTATTAAATCACGTGCATTACACGTGTGTAAAAACTAGTTTAGTTAAATGAGTCTAATCAGACGGGTTCATATCAAACTATACTAAATGGGCAGCCGGTATCAGTTCACCCATTTGCCCCCTGTATTCTCAAAACCTAACCCGAAGCCTTCTCGTTCTTCTCGGTCTCTTCGCCGATTAGAAAATCAAACCCACGGAGAAAAAAAACCCCCCTAGATTTTCTCCCCAATTCTACATAAAATCCGGCAACGTCGACTGCGGGAGATTTGATACCCTCCTTCCTCGTCGTCGAGAACCCTAATTCTTCCTCAGTTTGTCAAAAGACTCCATAGAGGGCGAGCAAGAGATCCAATCTCCTCCTCCATCGTCAGTTACTCGCTCGATTTGAGGTAATCTTTATCTTCACGTTTGAAGAAATTATGTATTTTTGATCTTTCGCTGTTGTTATTTGCTAGTTTCATTCAATTATATGTATGATTATGGAACTTTTTTTTCCTGACGAAATTAGGGCCAAAGGTTATATCTTTATCGGTTCCAGTTGGAAGTATGGGAGAAAAACTTTAATTATGGCTGATATACTCTACAGAGAACAAACAAGGAAAAATATGATCAATTTTTCATGTATCTAATCACCGCATACAAATTTTCAATAGTTCGGCTACCCGGATAAATAGACATCACACATGTATCCGTCATTGAATTATGACAAATGTTTGGTTTTCAACAAAGTTCTAATAGTTTTTTTTCATAATTCCGGTTGACTTATGAACAAACTTTGGTTTTTCTACAAAACAACTGATAATGATCAGTGAAAAGGACAGAAAATATAATTAACTGAATAGCACACGCACAGGACTTCACTGATCACAAGGTTCCGGATGCTTGTGATATGTTTTATAGATCTCATCCAGTTCAAATTCCAGATTAGGTTCCCAAGCAACAAGATCTGCGTGATTTCTGATTACAATGGCTCCCTGATGAATAACAGGAATTGACTGTTAGTAAAAGAATTCCTTCGCATGTGTTACATGAATGATAATATTGTGAATGGATATTGAACCTTGAGGTATTGGCATGCCAGCTTTGCTGGCCTCTCACTCCACAGTGTTACCAACTGACTCAACGTGATATGCAAGGATTGAAATGGGGATTTGTTCAAGCCTTGTATTTCCCCATTCTGTCCATATCCCTGTAAGCTTTATGTTTCCTCTTAATTGCTTAAGTTTCTATGTTGCTTTCTAATCCATGTCTATCCCATAAGTTGTATTGTTGCTCCATATTGTTGAAACTTGAAAATTTGTATTATACATTGAGCTCAAAAGCAACGCTTGCTTGATTAGCGTCCAATGAGAATTTATCGGTATAATATGTAAGCTGCTTGGTATTTCTAAAATCCTTTAATATTGCTTATAAGTTGGAGTTATAGTCAGTTCCTGACTGTTAATCCTGTTTCAGGTTTGATACTTGCAGCAACAGGCCGATTACAGGCGTATCTGAGTAGCCTTCCAGATTTGAGATCAAAAGTCCCTCAACCACATTAGTTTATCCCCAGTTAAGGTAATCTAGATGATTCTACAAAAAATATTTCTTTGCAGACGTTTTCATCTGGATTTGTCCGTGTACTTTTATCTTTTCTTTTGTTCTTTTTTTGTTTTTTTTGTTTTTGTTGGTCAACAAAGGAATCTGCAAGTATATTAATCTCCATATTCATAGAAGTTAAGAACACCTTCTTTATTACCCTAATGAGTGGTTCTTATGCAACTCCAATTCACAGTTTTGGGGAATGTGCTAAGGAAGTTCAAGTTCGAGTTAAAGACTAAAGCATCAGTGACATCAGTGTAGGTTCAATATTGGTAAAACAGTGGAAAGTTAACTATAGTAAACAAAACTAGTTTTGTTCAAGTTCATGTTCGAATGATGGTTGGCGTTAGTTCAATATTTTCTCAGGTTTTGAAATCATTACACTGAAGCTACGTGATCATGACACTTGTATAAACTTTGTATATTTCAGGTTCCCATAAACTGGTGTATCTGTAAAGGAACAATTCCAATTCCAGGAGTCAAGTCAGTTGAACAAGCAGAAGAGAACCTGGGTTCGCTTGGATGGCGTCTTAGATCAGATGAGATTGATGAGCTTCAGTATGCAGCAACAAATTCGTCTACTAAGATGATACAGAATATATTTCAAACTAGATGAATGGATGCATTACTGTAAATCTCAAATATTGTTATAATATCACAGTGAGATATATCGAGATATCATAGAAAGCATCAAAAGATATAGTTATTTAGTTATTAGCTTGACTTGGGTGATAGTTTCAATATTAGTATGACGTTGCTCTTATATTTGTTCTCCTTGCATGTATTTTCGTAAGGTTTCATATTATGCGGGTAACATTATTTTGGTTGAGCAAAGAAGTTGAATATCTGATCTTTGTATGAGAAATAGGAGTCTGCTTGAGAAATGAACAAGGAAAATAAGAACAAACAGCTTAGAAAGTTTGGACATAAAACTCAAAAGACTGTAAACAAACCCCCCCCCCACCCACCCACACACACACACACACACACACCACAAAAGTTCTCGCAAAAACCCCCCCAAAGTTTTATAAGAAACACCCCAAAAGTATTACATACATAACTATTATAGTTAAATGAGCAAATGGATGGACCGTTTATTAAATGGGCAGGCAAAAATCCGCCCATTTAGAAAATGTTAAATGAGTCATAAATGAGCTATCAAACAAGAAAGAAAAAAAGATAGCAATTCAAACAAGAAAGAAAAAAATATAGAAATTCAAAGCACTCTTTTCTAATTTTACCTGACTTTACATTCATTACTTTTCTGTCTCCAAACGTAAACACACATTAATTTCTATTTCCAGCCTAATAGAAATAAAAACCATTGATTACCAACCCAAATCAAGAAGTACACTGCAGAGGTTGGTGCACCGACGACATTAATCCTCTCGATTCAATTCTCCCTCCTCCTATCTTACTAAGTTTATAAACCCTCTCCCCCTCTATCACACATGCGCACACACTCTACTGTCAAAAACTGAGTACGCAACAAAATCACAAACCTCCTACGACTCAAATAATTAGCTCCAATCCAGTTTATTAGTAGTTTTTTTTTTAAAAAAGGCAAAGGTGAAAATACATAGGGAAGAGTGAATCAATAGGGAACCATAGGGGAATATAGAAGGTCATTTTATTCCAAAGATTTATGAAACAATTCAAATATAGACATCAATTTTGTTGCACTAATTAATGCATAGGGGAATATAGAAGGTCATTTTATTCCAATGATTTATGCAACAATTCAAATATAGACACCAAATTTGTTGCACTAATTAATGCATAGGCCTCGTAGGGGTGTTAAATGGGTGAGTTTGGGTATTAAATGGGCGGGCCATAAATGGACGGGCATGTTTTGCCCATTTACCCATTTATGGCTCATTTAACATTTTCTAAATGGGCGGGTTTTTGCCTGCCCATTTAATAAACGTGTTATCCTTTTAATAAACGAGCCGCCCATTTACCCATTTAACTATAATAGTTATGTACATAATACTTTTGGGGTGTTTTTTTATAAAATTCTAGGGAGCTTTCTGCAAACTATTGAGGGCTTTTTGCAAACTATTAGGGGCTTTTTGCAAACTTTTTAGGGAGTTTTTTTGCGAACTTTTTGGGGGTTCTTTGCAAACTTTTTTTTTC